AGAGATGGCAACAATATTCTCAGAAAATATTTACACTGAAATATGTTGATGAACTTATCTATATTGTTTTCCTTAAAAAATGTTTTATTGTTCTTGGCTGCCCTTTTGCTCAGATTTTATCTAAGATCAGATTTCTGTTAGACGACTAGCATGATAAATGTCGTTTGAAGTTCTTGTGAGAGCAAAGTGCCAATTTGATATAGCACTACACAGCACACAGACTTGGGAGTTCACGATCTGTTTTAAAGAGATCTGTGGGGTGAGAAATATTAAGCAAGCAATCTGTACCACACTTAGGAATTAATAATACAAAAAGAAAGGATGGAGAAAAGCCAAAGACATTTTGAAGAACAAGATGAGAGCCCTTGCGTTCCCTACATATCAATATTGATTATAAAGTTATAGTATTTCAGACAGTTTTCAATTTGGACAACACAGAGGAACAAATGAAAACAAATTAACAGCTCAAAAAATAGACCAACAAACTAATATATTATAGACTATTCTGTAGTACAGTAGCAGCCCTTGGGGATGGGGGGATTAAGCCATACCTCACACCATACAAAGAATCAAAGTCTGGAAGGAACAAAATATACTATTATAAAGTTTTTAGAACAAAAACACAAAAAAGGATATTTAAAACCTTCATGCAATAAAGCTTTCCTGAAAGTAGATGGCACATAATGGAAAGAATTAATAAATTTGACAATATTAAATTAAAGCTTCTTTTCATAAAAATGAGCACATATTGAGGGGAAAAAAAAAAAGATGAGATGTAACTGACAAAAGAATTAGAATCCAGAATCCATGAACACATGCACACACATAGAGTGTTGGTCAATTTTGTTGTCACTGTGACCAGAACACCTGATAAGAATAACTTAAAGGAGGAAAAGTTTATCTTTGGTTCACCATTTCAAAGGCTCAATCCATTGTTAGTCAACTCTGTTGCTCTGGGCCTGTGGCAAGGCAGAACATCATGGCAGAGGAAAGATTCTTGGCAAAAGGCATCGGAGAAGGAGAAGGAGGGAGGGAAGGAAAAAAGAAGGGAGAAAAAGAGAGGAAAGAACACTGATAAAAAGCCAGGGACAAATATAATACTCAAGTGCATGCCTCCAGTGATCTACTTCCTCCAGCCATGTGCCACCTGCCTATAGTTACCACTAGTAGCCCATTCAAAATATTAATCCAGCAAATGAATTAATCTACTGATTAGGATCCAGCTTTCTTAATGTAACCATTTCACCTTTGAACATTCCTGCATAGAATATCATGTTTCTTACACACAAGATCATATTATATAAACACACACAAACAGACACAGATCAAGAAAAAGCAATTGAAAATGAGTGAAATATACAAATAAACAATTCATATTGGAAATGTAGATGGCAAACCCCACCAAAAGGTGTTCAATCTCACAAGTAAGCAGTAAAATATGAATCTAAACTATGATAAAGCACTATTTTATATCCCATATGCTGGATAACATGAAAATGTCTGATAATACCAAGCACTGCCAGCATATGGATCAAAAAAAAACCCACACTTTTCAAGATTTAAATTTATTCTTAACTAGTATATACAAACATATGGTTATGAAAGTACATATGATGCTTCAATACATGTATTCATCATGTAATTTTCAAATCAAGGTAAATACATAATCTCCTCAAATATGTATCACTTTCTTTACAATGAAAAATTTCAAAATCTTTGCTTCTAGTTTTTTGGAACACACAGCATATTATCTTATCATTATCTAAAGCCACCTTACTGTTCAAGAACACACCAGAACTCCTTCTGTGTATCTAACTATAACAATAACCTTTTGCCATCCACTTTCCAGCCTCTGATAATCACCATTCTACTCTCAACTTCCATGAGATCAAGCAAGAAACAAACAAACAAACAAATAAAAAACGCTCAGAGATGCTACTATGAGTGCAAATTCTTGAAGAACAATTTAATATTGTAAATATTATACTTTACAACCCAGAAATCCACTCATAGGTGGTATGTAAACTCAAAAAACTCTTTTATAAATACATAGAGATATAAACAAACATGTTCATAACAACATTACTTATAATAGCAAAAATTATCATCAGAATAAAAATATCATAAATTCCCACAATCACCTATATGGCAGAGGAAAAAAAATTAGTGAACAAGAAAGTCACATCAAGATGAATCATTCTTAAACACATAATGCTGATTTTTTTAAAATTAAAAACAAGTTATAAAAGAATACATATTATATGATTTATGTAAGGGTTCAGTATGCAAAACAGTACAAAAATATTGTTAGTGGCAAAAATGCACAAAATTTATGAATGTACAATTAATAAAAAGCTCAGGAATGAGGTTGTAAGGCAGAGGAGAGATAGTGGACCTAGACTGGAGGCTTCAATCATATCCATAATGCATAATGTTCTCCTTCTTAAGGTAGATGGTGGGTACATCAGTGAACACTGTGTTTTTTGTATACCTTAATTATTCAAATTAATTTTAAAAAATAAAAAACAAAAACCTAAAGGAATTAAAATCTATAATAAAGAAGCACTCTCTTAAGCTAGAACAGATGGTTAATCAGAGAGATCAGTTTTCACAGTAAAGGCATCTAATAAATCTTAATGACCTACTACCATTTCCTATTCAAAACTTTGTCCTTGCTTTTCAAATGCTAACAACAGAACAGCACTCGGCTTGCCTTTATGGTACCCCACTGATATTGATATTATCATACTAGACTCTATCAGCTCTGAGTTCTTCAGAAATGTATCTCCATGCCTCGAAATTTACCAGTTTACTATTATCCCCATTACCAATATCTTCTGGAGCCAATCTCATTAAGACATTAATTCTTAAAGCTGAGTATTATCCTCTCTGTATATAGTACTATTTTAATTAAACATTTGCCAAAGAGTATATCTTTTAAGACAAAGGACATTTCATGCATCCAAAGAAAAATATTGGGAAAATATTTGGTACCTTTTGTTTAATATCAATTACCATGTATTTTATTTTCAAATAAGCTTAGTCTTGTTTATCCTGGAAACAGATTATCATTTCAAAGATTTTAATAGCATGGGTCAAGAACTTGATTAACATCTTATAAACTTTGATAACCTTAATATCTAAACATTTATGGATACCATCTGATCAGCTAGTCTGTTAAAACTACCTTGATTTAATTTTTAAAGTTGTGGCTGTTGGACTTTTCTATGAACAGCATCAGAGGACATTTAGATTCATCTTTCTCCAATGCAGTCAGCTGCATTGATGATGGGCAACTTGGAATTTAAAGACAGTATCTACATTTGCATTTCAATAGTTTCATAATTCCATGAAACCACTGAAATCTCTTCAATATGCTTCATTGTTTAAATAGTGAAGGTGGCAAATTTTTCTTCAAGATCCATGAATCTTAGGGAAAACAATTGGGCCATGGCATTCAAAGCCTATTCTAAAGAGGATGTCTTCTTTTATTGTTTAATACAAAATTCATGTTTCATGTTAAAAAATCTTTTGTCCATTTGGATTTTTATGGCACAATATTGAAATCACTAAATAAGAGAGAAAGGAGGATGTGTGGCTTAAATATAGTATAGCAGCACCATCAACTTTCAATTTGGGGTTCCTCAAATACCACCTTTGTCCTCAATGGAAAGGAAAAAACTTGTTTTCACTCAGGGAAACAATTTCACTCAACACACAGAATGTCACTTCATCAGTAGGTAGGTGCCCTCTTTGCAAGGACCTGCAGTTACCCATAATTGGCTGTGATTTTATATAAAAGAACTTCTGTGAAATATTTTGGTATGAGAGAATCCTGGAGTTAAAATAAGAAATTCTGAGTTCAGGAACAGGGCAGCTGAGTACCTTTCTGAGATGAGCCTTTATGCCTTCTTTTAATTGTGGATCTACAGAAAGAAGGAATGAAATATCATGTGTGACAGTATTGTGTAAATTGCATTCAAGAGAATTGGAAGCCTATGAAGGATTGCTTTCATAGGATTCTTGTATCAAATTATTTTTCAGTAGATTTTTCGATTGATATCTAAATTTTTTCATATAATCCCATTTGGCTGAGGCATTGAGATGTGGCAAGATGTTCACAAGGACAAAACTGTGTGAAAAATTAGAGCTCAACAAAGGTTAATTTAAAAACAGTTGTTCTTTTGACATGTTTATCCCCATTTATTTGCCATTTTCAGAAGCTGTTTCATGGTGTTTTGTAGCACTTTTTTAAAAAAAATGATCAGGCTTTACAAAACATACCCTCACTACTTTTCCTTTCTACATGCAAATTATACCAAACACTGGGAAACCTTCTTTAAAAGTCAGCCCACCTTTCCAGTCAAGATAAAGTGGACAATAATCCTTCCCCTTGGTTCTCTGCAGATTAGGTTTCAGCCTCCCAAGGCTTTTCCTAGACAATCCCCAGCAGTCAGGAAAAATGATATTTAACCTTGAAGATTTTAGTATTCCAAATCTAATACAAGCAAGTGCTTTTTCTTTTCGGTATACTGTAAGCTTACATACATCTCAACATGGCATTTAAATGCCACACACAGTCTGACTGTATTAGCGATTAGGGGAGGAAAGGGAAGAGTATTCCTCTTCTATAATGAAGAAACAAACAAACCAACCAACCTAGAGGCTATATCCCACAAAAGAATGATTCCAGGACAATAAATCTATGTTAAAAGATTACATCAGATGTGTCTAGAGAATACAAGTCTACATATAGCACTAGCTTCTATATTTTTTAACATATTGCTGCTTATGAGAGTTTAAAGGGAAGTGTGTGAGAACAAAGTGTGTGTGCCTTTATGTGAGGGTGTGTGTGTGTGTGTGTGTGTGTGTGTGTTCGTTCCTGTGTGTGTCAGGGCAGGAGGAGGGGCGGTGACTAGATGAAGGGAAAGTTGGGAAACCCTTCTGTTTTTGCGCACTCCCAGAGCAGCAATCCAGTCCCAGAATGAGAAGGGTACATGAGAGCTGGCACAAGGGTCTCTGCCATGACTGATATGAAGCGACTGGACACGGAAGCAAAGACTTTTCTCCTTGGCAGCCAACAACCTGCAGCAGGCAAGGCGGGCGGGGGAGGAAACCCCGAGGAGGCGCTCCTGGCCGCCTCTTTGCTGAGATAGCAGGAGCGGCAGCCTGCGGAGCCACGAGCGCAGCGTCACTGAGCTGGTGCGGGTGCAGGGGCGCGCAGGCAGGCGCACAGGCAGGGAGCCGCTTCTGCCACCCAGTCGCAGGCGCTGCAGGACAACCGTGCCGCCAGAGCGCCCGGGGCCGTTCCGCAAGAGCGAGAAGCCTGCGGCTGCGCTGCCCAGCGCGGTGCCTCCTGCCACCTGCCTCGCGCGCCGCGGGCGACTGGAGGAACCCAGAGAGCTCGGCCTGCTGTCCCGTTTTCGAAAAGCAGCCTGTGGCGGCGGAGCCGGGAGGAGAGCATTTCAGTTTTCTACGGGACTGAGATTTTTTTTTTCCTCCTTACAATTTGGGGGGGAGTCCTAGTAGAGGTCAGAGGGGCAAGAGAGGATCTAGAAAAGCTGCCAAGGACTGTGAACATGGGCACCCTCTCCTATCATTGGAAAATCTCCTTGACATTTTTCACACTTTGAAGCAGCTGCAGCTGGTGTCGTCGGAAAAGGGGGTGGGAAAAAAAGAGAGGGGGCGGGGAGAGCAGGGAGACACTGGCAAGAGCCAAGAGCAGCGCCTCCTCGCCTGCCAATCCTGGCACCTGTGCGCCGAGCCACTGCACCGAGGAGGACCCCACTCCCGGCGAACCCCAGGCTTGAAGCCACGGACTCCCAGCCCTTGCACGGGGGCTTCTCGTCGGCGGGACCTGCAGCCTCCCACTCTGGCCACCGCCGCCGCCTTCGTCCGCCGAAGCACACTGCACCTCTGAGTAGCCCACTGCGCCCCAGCCCCCGGGGATCCTCGCCCAGCGGAGGCGCCGCGGCGGGCAGCGGGTGTTACAGAGTTGGGTCCCTTTCCTGCTCTTCTCTTCTCCGCCCAGGATTTATTGTCTGTGGAGCTTTCTGGGGGCGGGGAGGGAGCTGCGCCTCCGCCACCACCGCCGCTGCTGCTGCGGTTGCTAGCGCGGCGCGCAGGGCAGGCGGAGGCCGGGGAGTGGACGCGCTCGTGCCTCCCCCGCCGGCGCTCTGGGCTTCCCCTCAGCGGCTCCCCGCGGGAACCTCACCAGCGGTCCACCTGAAGGGCATCAGCATCATGGTCTAACGCGGCACCTGCCTGGAATCCCCTCTTTCTCCTCCTCTTCCTCCTCCTACTCCTTCTCCTCCTCCTCCGAGGACTCTCGCTCCTACTCTACTGCGGACCCTCGAACACTTTAAGGAATAACCCTTAGCAGCTGCACGGCTCACGCTCTCCAGAACCTCATGGGCAGTTTCTCCCGCCGGCGATGTGAGTAGAGCACTCTCGCATGGTAGCCGAGGGGGCTGCGGGTATGTGTGTGTGCCCGGGGTGGGGGTGGCGGATCGCTGCTTGTGGCCGCACCGACCCTGACCACGCGCGGTGTGGGACCCCAGTGACCGGTCGGGGGTGGGCACGTGAGGGCGGGAGTCCTGGGCGCTCGCTGGGAGCTGCTCCTGAGGTGGCTCCGCGGAGGCGGCAGTGCTGTGGTAGGTGCCTGGCATTTGGAAATGGGATGCTAGCTGGGCGAGTGCACGGGAACACTGTGTGGCTTGGGCTGGCGAGAGACCCTAAAGGGTTACATACTGCGAAAAGGAAAGGTAAAGAGCGAGTGTTGGGCTCTAGTGCTGGGACCATTGGTCCAGCTGAGGTTAGGCTTTGCTCCTCTTTATTATCTTGGGTAGCTCCAGTCAGCCTTTCCCGGAGGTGTGTGAGGGATCAAGCGCGTGTTTGAAACACACACACACACACACACACACACACACACACACTTGTGGCAGGTCGCACTCGTTCCTTTATCTTGGAGGGTGTTGTATTACTGACTTGATAGCTAATTGTTTGAAAAATGCTTTTAGGAGATCTTTATGTCATTGAGGATTGCAGGGGTGGGGCTTGGGGGGAGATAAAGGAGATGAAGGAGCATGAAAGACTGGAGGACTGAAAGAAGTGGGGGAGCAATGGGGTAAAAGCTTTCCTTAGGAGTCAGGGAAAATGATGCCTCCCTCTCCCTATTCCAGACAACTCCTACCCGCACATCTCCTTTGTGTTCCTGGTGAACCCGCACTATTCCTAATTCACTACTGGGCCCCTTCGCATCCTCCTCTCCCAGTCATTAAGGATGCAGGACGCGTTTCTGATCCTATGTGGAAAGAGGAAGGAAAGCCCATTAGTATTAGGGTAATCATGGCACCCTGGCTCACCGGACCGTGAGACTGGCTACCGGAGGTCTCTAGTCTGTTTTTAGAGTCAAGAACCAGGAGGTGGGTGGGGATGAGATTGTACATATTGCCTTTAAAAATAGTGTGACTTCATAATAACGGAGATGGCTGCAAAATTGCTTCATTACACTACTTCTCTACCATCAGGGCGGAATAAAAGAACCTCCTCAGTCCTCTTCCTCTTTTCCCTCGCTATCTCCTCCCCATCAAGTCACAAAGCAAGCGGGTTGGGCGAGAGGGCTCAGCACGAGGCGAGGCGGAGAAGGGAAGGGGTCACTTTCACAACTCCTGGGAATCAGCTACAGATAGGAACCATCTGCGACGACTCCCACGTTCCTTTCGAAGTTCTCCTTCAAAAGGAATTAGAAAAAGCGGGAGGGGGTGGGTGGGAATCAGTGAGACACGGGGGTCCGCCACCTGCTCTTTTCCATTACTTTCCCAATACACTTACATCGAATTTACCTGCAGTGGTAATTGGGTCAGCAGGTAAATATCTGTTACCTGTAAATGTTGAAATATGGCTTTCCTGATGGAAGACAAGCAATTTGTATTTGAGCATATTTTAACCTGGGCAATATTTCTAAGCACAAAAGAGATTTTATAGCGTGGGCGAGCAGAGTGCATTCCACCGAAAGCAGGACACGTGATCCCTCCAACCGGAGAGATACAGTATTAGGAACTCGCTTTTCTTTGTTCCAGGCTGAGCCTATGAAATGCTCAGCATCTCAGTTGCTGAAGTCCTCATATAAAAGAAAAAAATAATAATAACAGCAACAATAATAATAAGTTGACCTTAGGCGAGAACAGAGCGGAAAGGAGTCCAAGTGGATGGTTGCCTGTGAAGGGCTTGGATCTTCTGAAATTTCATTTCTGCCCACCCTTCATCCCCACCCCTGGTCCCAGCCGGCCCCCTCTTTCAAAATGAGGCATTCCCTGTGGGAGACGCTGTGGAAAAGTTCTCCAGCCCCTGCACACGTGGGTTCTACAGCGCCTCAGAACCTGCTGCCATTCGCAACAGATTCTGCCACCTCCCCAGTCCAAGCGTCATGGCTCAATTCAGGCATCCTTAAGCTGACTTCCCGGACGCTAAGGGAACCACTGGGAGATCTTTTTGCAAAAGACTGTGGAGCAGTCATGTCCATGCTGCTTGGAAACCACTGATCAAACCAGGAAAGAATGAGAAAGTAGAGATGCTGAAAAGATTTTATTTTTTCCTTAAAAGTGAAAGAATTGAAGCACACATGCAATGGGGGGTGTGTTTAGCAACATCAGCGTTCGGGTTCCCGAGGTGTCTCTGGCTTGTGGGATGTCCTGAAAACTGAAAATTTATTAATTTAATGGAGGTAGAGCTTGTTCCCCCACCCAGCATTTAACAAGGGTTACGTGACTTAGAAATTTCTTATTTTGACTCCATGTATTATAAGCCATCTTAACGGGCTAAAGTTTTTTAAAACGTGGGATATTTCTGTCCTGTGCTGCATTGCATCATGCTAATATGTCATGGCTGAAAAAGCATAGTCAATTTCCATAACATAATGAAGTGAAAGTTCTTTATACATTTTTTTTTTATATTTGACTGTCCAAGAAAAGATGTGTACTTTCCATGGCAACGCTTGCATTCTACATCACTGGTGCCTGCACATATGCAGCTTCAGAATTAGAAACAACTTCATGAAGAAACAAACCTGGTCCAATTACAGTAGCCATGTTTTATTCAGAATTTTATCACAGCTTTGGACTGGAATTTAAATTTTTCTTAATTAAAATCTCATTCCACTTTATTTCTTAAGCCTTTAATTTTCTAATTCACTTATAAAGAACAGAACATACACTTTAAGTATCTTTGTGCATCTGTATTTTTCTTTGCTTTGGATTTTAAAATATTGTGAAGATTATTAATTAGTATTATGAAATTTTATTCCTTAAACTCTACATAGTGTTAATTCCCAGGGTATCTTTTACATTTCTCTTATTTTCTAATAAGTAATACAGGATAAAATTCTAGGTGAAAACCCACTCTTAATAATTATAACTTAAAATGTCTATTTTTAAGCATATGTCCATTTTTTAAATGCTAGATTTTAATTGATGTATCAAAATTATAACTTTTGATACTACAATTTTATTTTCTGAATGATTGTGGCCTCAGCATAACAATGAATCACACATTCTAAGAATTGTAACTTTTTTCCATGCCCATATTAACAAGTCAAAGAATAACCAACTATTCATAAATTACCATCTGGATTATTTCTGGATTCTTTTGTGTTTTCTTCTTCACATAAATTATTTCATAATTTTTTGGAAAAGTATTCTTTTTGAAGATATATGGTGTTCATTGAACACAGCAATCGTAATAAGCAAGCCATCAATAAAAAACATTATATAGAGTATTTTCTTCTCTTCAGTAATGATGACAGCTTTGTAGAGTATCATCCATATTCTCTTTGGATGAGTCATATAAATTTGCAACATAACTTTGGGGAACTATTAATTTTAAACTTGTGACACAGAATAGATATTTAGTTTGTGACAAGCCTTTTGACCATTAAGTAATTCCTATCTCTTGAAAGATGTGTTGGAAATGATCTAGTGAGAGCATTGAGGTTTTTACTTTGAATATCTTCAATGTAGGGGACACATTAGTCTTCAATAGGAGATTTTAAAGTATCAATATTAAAAAGTGGTGTTTTAATATTAAAATAGCAATATCAACCTATAGTGTAGTGATTGTATTCTATTTTGAGGAAGCACACAAGGAGAAGGAGATTCATGGATGGGATTCCTATATGGACTTTTATATAAATGTTTATTATAATAAATATCCATAATCAATGACCCCACATTGACACATTACCAACCAAAGTGCATTGTTTCTACTAGGGTTCACACTGTGTTGTAAATTCTGTGGATTTTGACAAATGCATGATAACATGTATCCTCCATTTTAATATCATATGTAATAGTTTTACTGCCCTAAAAATACCCATTCATTCTTTCCTCCCTGAAACTCAACAACTTTTTACTGTCTCCATAGGTTTTCCTTTTCCAAAATGTTGCATAGTTGGAATCACACAATATATCACATTTTTGGTTGGCAATATTTGCACACATCTTAAAATATTGAATTGTGAATTCTTTATGAAAATTCAAAAATGATACTACAAATCAACAAATTTGGTGACCACAAATCAATGATCTTTCTCCTTCACAAAGTTTTAACCACTTTCTGTAAATAGTTATGAATCATTGAGTATATAAACACACACACACACACACACACACACACACATGTATATTTTTTTTAATAAACGACTGTAGGGAATTACCCTGAAACAGTCAAAGAAGGGTAAGAAAATCTTAGTTACTTCCAAAAGGAACACATAATTGCCATAACACAATCAACCTTTTAAATCTGCACAATAGAGGTTGTAATAATTGCTAGATAATTGTAGTACATATCAAATAATAAGACAGAGTGGGTTGGATACTTTAGAAGAGTACAGCATAAACTTTTAAATATAAATTAGTTTTTTTACAGTACTGTTGTGTATGTGTGCAGTTGTATGTAGTGATGGCATAGTATATATTTTTTAAAATGCCATTTATAATCAAATATATCTGTTTTCTCTCTTGAAAGTAAGTAAATATTCTCAGGAATCTCTAAACTCATTTCACATCATGCTTCTCTTAAAATAAATAGTGCCTGAACTGTACTCATAGTAACAGCTACTAGTTATTGAACATGTTCTATGCATCAAGTGCTTTCCTTCAAAATAATCCTGTAAGTAATATTATTCATAACATTTCAATTATTAGAAAATATAGGCTTAATGATAGCATAGTTGGAAAGTGATGGGCCAAGACTTAAACCTAGATTTGGCTCTTCAATCTTTACCCCCATACCATGTTCTCTCCTTCATGGGCATAGATTGAAGTTTGTAAAATAACTGAAATTTGTTATAAAATAGAACATTTTACTGATGTATAAAGAACAAATAAGATTTTTATCTAGCTTTTCAAAATGATCTATGGATTTGGCAATGATTCACT